TCACTTACCTGATCTATAGACTATCTCTCCCCTCCCTCCCCATGCCTCACTTCCCTGATCTATATGGGAGCACTGTGTGTAGGAGAGGCAGTGTGTGTTTGTGTGAGGGGTGTAGTATGTGCATGGGAGTGCAGTGTGTATATGTGGAGTGCAGTGGGAGCGCTGTGTGTATGGGGCCAGTGTGTGTATGAGGGTGTAGTAGGGGCAGTGTGTGTATGGGAGTGCACTTGGGGAAGTGTGTGTATGGGGGTGCAGTTTTTGTGTGGGGGAGCACTGTGTGTATGGGGGTGTAGCGTACATGGGGGAAGAAGTGTGTGTGGGGGTGCAGTGTTTGTATGGGGGAGCACTGTGTGTATGGGGGAGAAGTGTGTATGGGGGTGCATTGTGTATGTAGAGCACAGTATGTATGGGAGAGAAGTGTGTGTATGGGGCTACAGTGTGGGAAGTGTATGTATGGGGGTGCAGTGGGAGCTGTGGGGGCAGTGTGTCTATGGGGGGCTGTGGGGGCAGTGTGTGTGGTGGGGCAGTGTGTATATGGGGGCTGTGGGGGCAGTGTGTATGTGGGCAGTGTGTATATGGGGGCTGTGGGGGCAATGTGTCTATGGCGGGGCTGTTAGGGCAGTGTGTATATGGGGGCTGTGGGGGCAGTGTGTCAATGGGGGGCTGTGGAGGCAGTGTGTATATGGGGGCAGTGTGTCTATGAGGGGCTGTGGAGGCATGGTGTATATGGGGGGCTGTTGGGCAATGTGCCTATGGGGGGCTGTGGAGGCAGTGTATGTGTACCTGGAGGCAGATGAAAATAAATGTGGTTTTATTTTTAATTAAAAAAATATTCTTTATATGCCCCCTCCCTTCTTACCTTTGCCCAGGGAGGGGGGATATTACTTCCAATACCTGGTGGTCCGGTGGAACCCCTGGCGGTTCTAGTGGGGAGTGAACTGTAGCCTGCAGTTCCTGAGGCTAGAGTTTACTCTTGCGAGAACGGAGCATTGCCATGGTAACGGCGTCAACGCTCTGTGCTCGCGAGAGTAGACCCAGCGAAGCTGCAGGCTAGAGCTCCCGGGTCTCCTCTCCCTCTTGTGCCAGCTGCCCAGCAATGTGTCTGCGGACCGGTGAGGGAAATCTAAGATCTCCCCTCCGGTCCGTGAAGGCACTTAGCAAGGCCAGTACTTGGATAGCACCGGCCCTGTAGGAGAGAGCATCCGCTCTCGGGGGGGGGGCAATTACAATTGCCCTGTTGCCCCCCCAGATCCGTCACTGTTCCTAGGTACCTCGGTAACGCCGTTCAGGACGGTGAGGTAGGCTCCCATGGGTCTCTCTCCCCGGTCCCCCCCCTTCTGTCTCTTTCACCCACCCTCCGTTTACCTTTGGGCATCGGGATAGATTCCGTGGCTAGGGACTGTCGGTTGCCCCTGACTAGGGTTCATGAACTCCAGTGGGAGGTGTCACTGGCTTTGGGGCGATGTGTGATTCGGCTTTGCTGCCTGTAGTCTCTCCTAAGTGAGCTGGACTTTTGCCTGTCGGATTTGAACAATGGGGCTGTCTAGAAATTTCCTTCTCGGCCTCCTATATTGGTGGAATGTCTGGCAGGTACTTCCGCCTGTATGCTACAGGCTTGGGAGGTTTTGGGGTCATTTGGGCTCTCCATGGTGGGGCTGACTCTTGGACTCCCGGAATCTGGCTGTCCTGGAGCTCTTCCCCATTCTGGTGGCATTGGGGGTGTGGGTTCCCACCTCACTGAAAGGTGGATAATTTTCCATTGCGACAAACTGGGGGTGGTGCCGGCTGTCACTCACTTGACTGCATCCTCTGCCCTGGCGGTGCACTTGCTGCGGCACCTAATTCTGCGCTGTTTGAGTCTTAATGTGTCTGGTAGGGCGGGACATATCTGGAGGGTTCACAATGTATTGGCAGATGCTCTCTCTCATTTGCAATGGGACGTACTCCGGGCATTGGCTCTGCAGGCTGATTTGGAGGGCATCCCGTGACCGGTGGAGATGTGGTCACTTGGTCTGGTGGACTGGTGGATCAGGTCCGTGGGTCAGTCTCTGCAGCCGCGAGTGCTGTTCTTTCCGCCCGGCTTTCTCTCCCGCTTCCAACTCGGTAGGGTGTTCCGCTTGGGGCTCGAATTCCTGGGTATTGTTGGCAGGGAGTTTTAGGGGGTATTCATTCCTTGTACGGGTGACTACTAAAGGCCTCTAGGCTTGGCATGCTGGCGCACGTGGTTCTGGGATTCCTCCCCGATCTGGTTCAGCTGTTCCGCCTCTTGGGGGGGTTCCGAGTGTTCTTGCCGTCTATCTGGGGGGGGGGGCACTGACTTGGGTCGGTGCCCGTTTGGGATTTTGTGTTCACCATTTAACTGGACATGGCACGCATTCTGTTTTCTTCCCGGACGTCTGCCTGGTTTGGTCCTTTAGGGGGCATAGTGCCAGGTAACAAATTAATGGCACAGTCGTAGGGCCTATGTGGAGGTAATACCTCCGACTGAACCTTGTTAAATACTTATTTTAAGTCCAAATACTGCGGTGGGACTTCTGTGGTTAAGGGAGGTGCTATAGGTACATTGATGGTACCAATTCGTTTTGGCATCTGTTTTAAACAACGACCTCTGCAACTCTCCCCCCAAATCACAATCTCTCCTTTAACCAAATCTAAACCTAGATTGTGTTTCTGGAGCCAAGGAAAACCGAGTATTATTGGACAATATAGGCACAACCCCTTGTTGCGTCTTGTTGCGTCTTGTTGCGTCTGTGTTGTCTCTCCACCTCAGTCAGTTTGGCAATATCCAATTGCATGAGTTCGGCTTCTAAAGGTGGAGCAGAACTAACAGTCACTGGGTTAGAGAAACGAGGGGCTATAGACAAGTTTGTACGTCTAGTACGCTGTTTGTTTTTCTCCCTCTCTCTGAGCCTGTTGTCAATGTCAATAATGTATGCAATAAAATCATTAAAATTAACCGGAAGGTCTCTGGCTGCGGTGTCATCTTGTATATTTTCCGTTAAATCTTCAGAAAAAGCAGCCACCAAACCACTATTGGTCCAGTCGACCTCAGAAGCTAATGTCCTGAACTCAATGGCGTAATCAGCTACAGAGCGGGTGCCTTGTTTTATTCTCATTAAGGCTCTGGCAGCGTTTTTCTCTCTTCCCTTTGGCTCAAAAGTGGCTTTAAATGCCGTTAAGAATTTATTATAATTATGGGTAACTGGATTTCCACTTTCCCATAAGAGATTGGCCCAGGTTAAAGCCATGCCCGTTAATTGGTTCATAAGATAGCTAATCTTTGATCTATCTGTAGGGAAGGAACCAGGGGAAGCCTCGAAATGATATTCAATTTGGTTAAGGAAACCTCTGAATTCTTTAGAATCACCTCCAAAACAAGGGGGAGGTGGAAGGGTTATGGGTGGAGGTTTATATACTACAGGTTCAGGTATAGGTGGCGGAGCTACAGGTGGTACCGGGGGTGCCTCCAGATAAGCAGTTCTCTGGAGCAAGGTCTGGAACGATGGGCAAACTTATCTAACCTGTGGTCCATATCCTCCACCCTGTTCTCACACGCTATCATATGTTTACATATGAGCGTAAACTGGACCTTAGAATGGCCGGACTAAGGTCAAGGAAGCCAGAAATACACAATACCATTTAAACAAGCCAAGTCAGGGGAGCCAGAAATCGGAATAACCAGGAAAAGCCAAGATCAGAATACCAGAATATTAATATCACAGGAAAAAAGGCACTCTCAGGAAACCAGGAACAGGAAACCACGACAGGGCAAGGTACTGGGGTGAATTAGGGATTTAAATATCCCTCTCTAGGAGCTGATTGATCAAAGGGTGACCTCTGACCCCAGAACATGCGCGTGTTTCCCTTTTGTTACCATCCTCTATAGCGGACTATCGATAGATAATGAGGGAAGATACAAATACTTAGCAACAATAAACCAAAAAAAGCAAGAGGAAAAATATATATACCCTGTAACAAGCAACCAGGAATATGGATGGCAAATAGGTAAGCATAACTAGCTTTACATCTTGTCAGGTCACTGCAATGAATACTTTTTTAAAACGACTGCCTGTCAAGAGACCCAAAATTCAGGGTTTACTTATACCGTATAAAATGAAGTTACATTAAGGGTTATAGGATATTTGGGAAGATCTGTAATATTCAGGGTAGTTAGGGTTAGAGGGCTTAGACAGCCATTGGAGGCAGATTTAGTGCTGCAATGTAAGCATTGCAGTTTCTCTGGAACTGCATTGATTAACATTGCAACACTAAGTGCAATAGTACCCAGACCATGTATGTAAATAGTGGGGAATCGCGATGCAGCATAATAACATAAACCAACCCAATTCAAATAATGGCAGACAACATAGTATGGATGAAACAGGCCACAACATTTATTATAACATATGATAATTACTGTATAACACATCCATAGTTTATTTTAATATTCTCTTTTCTTTGATATAACCAAAAGGTCAAAACATAAATAACCATAACTTAACATTAAACTTAACACGACTGCACCAACTCACTGAGCTTACCTGCTCAGCGGTGAGCCAGGAACCGCTCCTCCACGCCGCTCCGGGAAATCCAAGATGGCGCCGACCATGCAGTCGCGTCCATCCATGGCTCCACCCCCCAAAATTATATGAAGATGGGACATTTAGGGTTAATGTTAGGGTCCAAATTAGGGTTAGGATTAGGGACTTGTTCATATTTAGTGATATTTCACATTAGGGGAATATCACTAAATTGTGCTTTTTCACACTTTATTTTAACCCTTACCCCAAGGGTTAGGGTAAGAATAGAGTGTGAGAGAGGTTAGAGTCACTTACCTAACCCTAATTTGAACCCTCACTTAACCCTTAATGTCCCGTGTGCCTAAGCTTAGTGAATGCACTAACAATAATGAAAGTGCAAAACTAGTTTTACTTACCTTCCAGGACCTTGCTGTGGAGGCGTAGCAGGAGTGCTAGCACGCATGTGCAGCACAGGATCCAGCTGATTTCCCTCACCAGAAGTGACGAGTGTAGGGGATTTTCACGAGGTAGGGGAATTTGATAGAACACCGGTGATAATAGATTGTACTGTCCAGGCCCTATACGGCAGAGCTCTGCAAAGTGTGAGTTAGTCTTTTATATAGTCCTTTTACTGGATATATATTCCATTTACTTGATATATTGCACTATTATTGTTTATATTTTATTATGTTCAAGGGTTATATACACCATCATAGTACTGGAATATCCTGTATGTATGTATAAACCATTTTATATTTAATCACATTATATTTTAATCACTTTGTATTCCTCTGTGGTGCGGTTTACCACTCTGTTTTCGCACTTTTTGGTTCTGATTAGCAGGTATTGGGAATCCTGCTGGTTCACTGCTGCCGTACACCCAGTTATTTTAGAGAGCGCCTACACCTTGCTTTATATTTACTTAGTAAATTATGCCCCTACTCGCTATACTGTTAAAAAAAAAAAAAAAAAGTCCCCCCTCCACCTATTGTCCTCCCCCCAGGCCCCACCCCTGAGCGGTGGGTGGCGGCCCTAAATTATAATAAGGGAGGGGGGAGCTAATGTCCTCCCCCCTGGCCCCCACCCCTGAGCAGTGGGTGGGGGCCCTAAATTAGAATAAGGGTGAGGACCTAATGTCCTCCCCACTGGCCCCCACCCCTGAGCGGTGGGTGGGGGCCCTAAATACTAATAAGGGTGCCCGTTTGGGATTTTGTGTTCACCATTTAACTGGACATGGCACGCATTCTGTTTTCTTCCCGGACGTCTGCCTGGTTTGGTCCTTTAGGGGGCATAGTGCCAGGTAACAAATTAATGGCACAGTCGTAGGGCCTATGTGGAGGTAATACCTCCGACTGAACCTTGTTAAATACTTATTTTAAGTCCAAATACTGCGGTGGGACTTCTGTGGTTAAGGGAGGTGCTATAGGTACATTGATGGTACCAATTCGTTTTCCTCTGTGGTGCGGTTTACCACTCTGTTTTCGCACTTTTTGGTTCTGATTAGCAGGTATTGGGAATCCTGCTGGTTCACTACTGCCGTACACCCAGTTATTTTAGAGAGCGCCTACACCTTGCTTTATATTTACTTAGTAAATTATGCCCCTACTCGCTATACTGTTAAAAAAAAAAAAAAAAAGTCCCCCCTCCACCTATTGTCCTCCCCCCAGGCCCCACCCCTGAGCGGTGGGTGGCGGCCCTAAATTATAATAAGGGAGGGGGGAGCTAATGTCCTCCCCCCTGGCCCCCACCCCTGAGCAGTGGGTGGGGGCCCTAAATTAGAATAAGGGTGAGGACCTAATGTCCTCCCCACTGGCCCCCACCCCTGAGCGGTGGGTGGGGGCCCTAAATACTAATAAGGGGGGGAACCTAATGTCCTCCCCCCTGATCCCCACACCTGAGCGGTGGGTGGGCATCCTAAATGCTAATAAGGGGGGGAACTAATGTCCTCCCCCCTGATCCCCACCCCTGAGCGGTGGGTGGGGGCCCTAAATACCAATAAGGGGGGGGCTATTGTCCTCCCCCCTGGCCCCCACCCCTGAGTGGCGGGTGGGGGCCCTAATAAAAAATTAACCTCCCCTCCCCCAGGTGACTAGGGATCCCCAAACCTCTAGTCACCCCCCTCCCAAAAAATACTAACTCCTACCTACCCCCCTCACCCTAAAAATAATGAGGGGGGGGCCATTAACTAAGTACCTGTATAAAAAAAAAAAAACTTACCATTTAATGTTTTCTTTCTTCTAAAATTTTCTTTTTTATAATTTAGGGCCCCCACCCGCCGCTCAGGGGTGGGGGCCAGGGGGGAGGACAATAGGTCCCCCCCCTTATTCTGATTTAGGGCCCCCACCCGCCGCTCAGGGGTGGGGGCCAGGGGGGAGGACAATAGGTCCCCCCCATTATTTTACTTTAGGGCCCCCACCCGCCGCTCAGGGGTGGGGGCCGGGGGGGGGGCAATAGGTCCCCCCCCTTTTTTTTTACATTCTGCTCACTGTTTAATAGACATGCCCTACATGCCCTGCGATCTAGTGAGTAGGGGCAAAATTTACTAATACTAAGTAATTTTGCCTTAGTATTAGTAAATTTGGCTGAATTACCAATTTAGGTCTTTCGCCTTTTGGTAGATAACTCCCTAATACCGTGGGCTGCAAGAGAAGTGCCGAAGTCCCGAAGTCCCGAACCGAACCGAAGTCCCGAATTAGCCGAAGTCCCGAATTTCGTAATGCCGAACCGAAAATTTTCCCCATGCACATGCCTAGTGCACACACCCTGTCACCCCCACACATACATCCTGTCACAGCCCCACTACACCTACCCTGTCACCCCCGCAATGCAAACACCTGTCACACCAACCCACACTATATCATTCCCACAAACACTGACACCCCATCCACACACACTGTCACACCCAATAATCCCCACACACATACTGGCACCCCCCACACACACTGTCACCTCCACTCACATGCACTGTCACCCTGTTAACATACAGTATCACCATCCCTAAACACTTTCAGCCCCCAAACACTGTCACCCACTTCACCCAGCCACTCTCCAATTAACCCCTCCTAATCCTGTCACTCTCACCCCCTCCAATCATACCAAACTAACCCACCTTCACTTCGCCACTCTTAACCTATCACATTAACCCCCCAATCCTGTCAGACTCACCTTCTCTCGCACTGCCACACTCACCACCCCAATCCTAACACACACACAGAGTCATGAAACATAGCTGTGCCATAACACAATGCACAAAGGCCAGAGACAGCCACCCCACACACATATGGATCCAGACACATGCTCACAAAGAGCATGTTTTTAAATTGAGCCCTATATCTTACAGGAAGCCAATGTAAGGACACACAGTTTCAGGCACATACACATGTAGACAATGTGAGATACACTCAGATATACACACTGGCCCTTATGTATACACGACTGCCAAGCTATGTAACCATACCCCGCAATCGTTTATAAACGATTAGCATAATTGCTAATTAAATGTGTTTATTGCAAATTTAATTAGCAATTAGCATACTTGAAACAAGAGAAATATCAATGTATTCTTCCTTGTAAAATATTTTATATATAAATAAATATAATTTGCAAATTATGCCATAACTACAGTCAGAAAGCTCACAACGCAGCGGCACAGGGAGCCGCGACACTGCAAGCCTCTGAACAATGAATACAGCGACTAGCTCTCTGTATCCAGTGCTGCAAGCCGGTCCTTCAATATAACTACAGCACCTTATACACACACACGATGAACCCCTATTTATTTTCACTTTGGGTGTTAGTGGGGTCCTCATGTTTGAGTTTCGCCTAAGGCCTCACAAAGGTCTGCCACTACCCAGATATATCTAATTATTATAGCGTGCAAGGATGCATAGTATTTTGGGGGATGTGAATTCGGGAGTGTTTGGAAAAGTTAGAGGTTGCGTAGAAGCAGTGGCGGAACTATCGCGGTCGCAGGGGTCTCAGCTGCGACCGGGTGTCCGCCGCCATGTGTTGCAGCTCCTGCCCACGCGGTAGAACCGCCAGGACCGCATTAAAGGGGTCCATCGTGTGGCCCATGCTGTTAGGGTCACCCGATGGCCAAGTATTACCAGGGGGCCCAGTCAGCGCTGTAGCGCTTTAACAGCGCGACCGGGCCCCCTGTGATGGGATCAGATGATCCAGCAACCACCAGGAGCCGCGCAGGAGGAAGAGAGATGGAGGTCAGAGTGGGAACTGTTTGTATGTGTGTGTCTATGTGTGTGTCTGCATGTGTATCTGTTTGTCTGCATGTGTGGGGGCAGTGGTGTACATATTGGGGTCGCAGGGGTCACGGCTGCGACCCGGTATGTATGCCACTGTGGCCACCCTCTTCTCCTAGGGGGCCCAGGAACTGGCCACCTTAGGGCCCCCCAGGCTGGCCCTGGTGTCACCCTGCGGGCAGGAAGGCGGGCGCGAGGGAGCTCCCTCGCGCACCACACTGATACCGGAACCGGGGAGAGTGCTCCCTCGCGCGCCCGCCAGCCTGCACGTCGGCTGACACCACTGGACCCCAGGGAATCCCCTCAGCACTCCCACAGGTAAGGAGGCTGGTGGGATTAAATTTTTTTTTAAACTAGAGTGTGTTAGTGTGTATGTTTGTTAGTGTGTATGTGTGTTAGTGTGTATGTGTGTTAGTGTGTTAGTGTGTATGTGTGTTAGTGTGTGTGTGTGTGTGTGTGTGTGTTAGTGTATGTGTTAGTGTTAGAGTGTGTGTGTTAGTGTTAGTGTGTGTGTTAGTGTTAGAGTGTGTGTGTTAGTGTTAGTGTTAGAGTGCGTGTGTGTGTGTGTGTGTGTGTGTGTTAGTGTGTGTGTTAGTTTTAGAGTGTGTGTGTTAGTGTGTGTGTGTTAGTGTGTGTGTTAGTGTGTGTTAGTTTTAGAGTGTGTGTGTGTTAGTGTTAGAGTGTGTGTGTTAGTGTGTGTTAGTGTTAGAGTGTGTGCATTAGTGTTAGACTGTGTGTGTGTGTTAGTGTGAGTGTGTGTGTTAGTGTGTGTCAGTGAGTGTGTTACTATGTGTGTCTTTTACTGAGTGTGTTAGTTTGTTTGCGTCTGCTGGTGAGTGTGTGTTTTGTAAGTGAATGAGTGTGTGTCTGTCTGTCAGTGAGTGTGTATGTATGAGTTAAGTGCCTATTGAATCAACAATAGTGATTGCAGGACTCTGGAAATGATACAAATGCTGTAGATTCACAGATTGGCAACAATGTTCAAGAAATGTATCAGCCCGTTGTTTCTTTTCTTCCCATATAAGGACAAGAAGAATGAACGATAGCTGAGTGATTGATCTAGTAAAGGTTTTTGATCGTATATATAAAAAAAACAAAAAACAATACACTTAGAAATCAATAAAATGGGTAACCAAATAGTAGTCCCACTGTAGTAGGAATCCAGAGAACTATGTCATTTATATAGTGTAGCCGACAGGTAGATTGTAAAATAAAATAATTTTATTAGCATATACTGTCTAACACATACACATAAAAAATATAAATGACAAACATATTCCCCAATTAAGGAAAGCAGTGGTTGCTTAATATACAGTCTGAGGCTCCAAAATGATGTAACAAACTCTCTCACCGGCCGGATGAAATCGAGTGTGGACCTCCTCGTGCTGTGTAGAAACTGGCTGTCAGACGCGTGCGTTCCACTGCGGCTTTGGATGCTTTCCAGCCTGCTCTCCTGGGGACCAGTGTGAAGTACCGCCTTACGCGTTTCGTGATCATAGGATCACTTCATCAGAGGATCAGGGGGGGAAGAGTAGACGTATGGGGGGGGCCAAGGCAATTTTCGCACCAGGGTCTCGTGGTTTCTAGTTACGCCTCTGCGTAGAAGCAAATTCATTCTGCACCGAGTTTTCAACTATCTTAGTCAATAAAGGAGAATCCTAGAATGGATGTGCAAGTTCTGTGCCTGTGCAGCCTCACACATTTGTTTGAAATCTCTGCATGCTTTACAAAGACCGGGAGAGAGCTGGTGTGGCTTCTGTTATTATATTATTATGTTATTATTTATATAGCGCCAACAAATTCTGCAGCGCTTTACAGTGGGTGGACGAACAAACATGTAGTTGTAACCAGACAAGATGGACACACAGGAACAGAGGGATTGAGGGCCCTGCTCAATGAGCTTGCTAGAGGGAGTGGGGTAAAATGACACAAAAGGTAAGGATAGTATTTGACTAATGACAGTTGCAAGAGAGGAATCAGTCGGGAGCTATTAACAGTTTAATTGATATGCTTTTATGAAGAAGTGGGTTTTTAATGATTTTTTGAAGGAGTGGAGACTGGGTGAGCATCTAACGGAGGAGGGTAGTGAATTCCACAAGAACGGTGCAGCCCTGGAGAAGTCTTGAAGGCGAGCATCAGAGGTGGGAGTACAGACACAAGATAGACATTAGTCTTCAGCAGAGCGTAAGGGCCTAGACGGGACATACTTATGTATTAGGGAGTATAGATAGGTGGGAGCAGCATTATGTAGAGATTTGAAAGCAAGAACCAGAATTTTAAATTGAGCCCTGTATCTTACAGGAAGTCAATGTAGGGACTGACAGAAGGGTGAGGCGTTGGAGGTGCGGGCTGACAGGAAGATGAGCCTCGCCGCCGCATTCATTATGGACTGTAACGGCGCAAGTTGGGAGCACGTAAGACCACTGAGAAGCGGATTACAGTAGTCAAGGCGAGAAAGGACAGTGGAATGGACGAGCACCTTTAGTCGCATCTGGCATTAAGTACGGTCGGATGCGCGCAATGTTTTCGAGATGGAAGCGGCAGGATTTGGGGATAGACTGAACATGAGGCGTGAAGGAGAGGTCGGAGTCAAAGAGAACACCTAGGCAGCAAGCTTGTGTGGTGAAGCTCCATTGACTTGGAGGGAGACAGACACAGGAGTAGCAACACTTGAGGGAGGAAAGACCAGAATTTCAGTTTTGGTCAAGTTGAGTTTAAGGAAGTGGGCAGCCATCCAGTTAGAAACAGCAGAGAGGAAGTCAGAGACACTAGTCAAGAGGGACGGGGAGAGATCAGGAGAGGACAGATAGATTTGCGTGTCATGCACATAGAAATGATATTGGAAGCCAAAGGAGCTAATGAGTTTACCAAGGGAGGCAGTATAGATGGAGAACAGTAGGGGACAAAGGACTGAACCTTGGGGGCACCAACAGAGAGGAGTTGGGGAGAAGAAGCAGAGCCAGAGAAAGAAACACTGACAGAGAACTGGGAAAGGTAGGAGGAGCTCCAGGAGAGAGCAGTATCTTGTAGATCGATATTGTGGAGGATGAGAAGAAGCTATTGATGATCAACAGTGTCAAAAGCTGCAGAAAGGTCAAGGAGAATTAGGATAGAGTAGTGACCACGAGATTATGCAGCGAATAGATCATTGGATACCTTGGTCAGTGCCGTTTTCACAGAGTGCTTAGCACGGAAACCAGACTGAAGCGGGTCTAGCAGAGAGTTGGACTCGAGGAAGTCTGTCAATCTCGCATACACAATTCTTTCAAGGATCTTGGATGCAAAAGGCAGTAGTGAGATTAGATGGTAGTTGGACGGGGAGTTAGGGTCAAGGTTGGACTTCTTTAGAATTGGGGTTATAGTTGCATGTTTAAAGGGCGATGGAAATATCGTAGAGAGAGGAGAGAGAGATTGATAATTTTAGTGAGAGGTAGAGAAAGAGAAGAAGACAGAGTATGGATGAGATGCAAGGAAATTGGATCTAGGGAGCAGGTGGTGGGGCGGGAGGACTGGAGCAGAGCAGAAACCTCTTCTGCTGTAGAAGATGTGAATGAACATAGAACAGAAGAGAGGGAGTGAGATTAGGGGAAGTATTGTAAGGGGAAGAAGAAAGATGAGAGATCTCTTCCCTGATTGTAGAGATCTTGTCAGTGAAGTGAGTTGCAAAGTCTGAGGCGGTCAAGTTAGTAGGTGGAAGAGTAACAATAGGACGAAGAAGAGAGTTAAATGTGGGAAATAGTCGTTTGGGTTCTCAGGAGAGTGTGGTTATGAGGGTATTGAAGTAATTTACTTTTGCAGAGGAATGAGCCTAGCTGTATGAGCGCAGCATACATTTATAGTGGAGAAAGTCAGACGCACAGTAAGTCTTTGTCCAAGAGCGTCCAGCACTTCTGGAGCATTTTTTGAGGTATCAGCTTCACAACTTAGCATAGTGACAATGCAGCATACCCAAGACATGGAAGTCCTGGCAACAGTTGCTTTGAGTTTGAACTCCTACATGTGTATATCTGTGTGTGTTTGAGTATTTGCCCACCATAATAATGTGATATCACTTCATCCCAGCACTGCTGAAAAGAGCGAGCTAAGGACAGGCTAATTTTGGGGTTGGAGCTGGAAATACAATTCAGCCTCTATGATCATCCAGCCATCTCAGCCATCTCAGTACCCCAGTATGTCTCTGATGCCAACAGGGTGCCCATCAGTCCGGCATCCAGTGGCAGCTTTCCCCACTTTGCTACAACTCTGCAGAGTCTGTGGACATGTAAAAGAGCTTAATCAGTTGTGCAATTAGCCATAAGTCTATTTGTATAGACCAATGTTTCCCACACTTTTTAGGTTAAAGGCGCACTTAATATCTTAATATTTTTCCAAAGTGCCCCAAGTTAATACAAATACACAGACTCCTAGTACTCATGGACAGCATCTATAACTATAGTACACATCAGCCCCAATACATACAATAACAAACAAAGAAAATAGTTATCCGCACACTACCCCAAATCCCTATGAGTATGGAGGTGTTTTGTTTCACTCCAATGGCAATTAGGTGTAAGCTCACCTGTCACATCCACCCCATGTGTTTCCTATTAAGGGTTAATAAGTACATAGGGGTTAAGAAAAATACCCCTCTCTGTCTCATTCGAGATTTGTTTGCCTGGAGCTGAAGGAAGCAAGGTGATTTGTTAATGTAGGACCCACCTAGGAGGTTTGCTTTGACATGGCAGGTGGGCTTACATCTAATGGCCATTGGAGTGAAACAAAATAACCTCCATTTGTTTAAATGTGCATAGGGATTTGGAGTAGTGCGCAGGTTACTCTTTTCTATAGTTTTTAGTGGCCCAAGTTAAAAAAAATTATAGGTTGTATATCTGTACAGCGCTGCATCATATACTAGCTAGCGCTATAGTATAATATATAGTCTTGGTGTTTAATTGAAGGGGTGCTTGAATATTTTAGTGTTTTAATACAGGGGTGTGTTTGTATGTAATGTTTGTGTTTGATTGCAGGGGTTGTGTTTGCTTATAGCCAAAAGTTTAGCCAAATGTCTCTTTGTATAGACAGTGTCTGGAGCTGTTTGGCAGAGGGGACAATATCTGTCATGAAGAAGGAATAGAGAGAAGGGCAATACACTTCTCCCCCAGTGGTCCTTAGTCCCCCCTCCTCCCCCCAGTGGTCCTTAGTCCCCCCTCCTCCCCCCAGTGGTCCTTAGTCCCCCCTTCCTCCTCCCCCAGTGGTCCTTAATTCCCCCTACCTCCAGTGGTCCTTATTTCCCACCTTCTCCCCAGTGATCCTAGTCCCCCTCCTCCCCCCAGTGGTCCTTAGTCCCCCTCCTCCTCCCCTCCCCAGTGGTCCTAGTCCCTCCTCCTCCTTCCCCAGTGGTCCTTACTCCCCCCTCTCTCCTCCCCCCAGTGGTCCTTACCCTCCTCTTCCCTCCTGCCGGTCTCTCAATGTAGCGTGGCCGGGTTCACTTTCTGTCAGTCCGCCGGGTACAGGAAACAGAGGTTCCTGTCCCGCTTTCCGCGCTGCCCGGCCACGCTACATTGAGAGACCGGCAGGAGGGAGCGCTCTGCGCTTCTCTCCTGCTGGTCACTCAAATCCGGCTGCCCTCCATACAGCATTGCTGCGCCGCCTGAGGCTTGCTAAAGCGCTCAGGTGGCGCAGCATGTTGGAGCCGCACCGGTGATTCCTGGTGCAGGGATCCGGCGCCCCTGCTAAGTTGCGCCCTAGGCAGCTGCCTAGGTCGCCTTACAGGTAGCGCCGGCCCTGTGTGTGTATTCAGCAGTCGGTGTGTGTGTGTGCGTGTATTCGGTGTGCGCGTGTATTCAGCAGTCGTGTGTGAATGTGTTCAGCAGTCTGTGACTGTATTCAGCAGTCTGTGTGTATGTATTATATGTATGAATTGCATTTGTTGGAGGTACCAATAATTTTTATCGATAATTTAAATTTTATTCCTGTGAGTTGCTGTGTAGGAAGGGCAAAAAAAATTGGAGAAAGAAAGAAAAGAGATTGGAAGGGGGAGACACTATCAAAAAACTGGGGACTGAATGAAGATGTGGGATTGCCCACCGTGCCACTAACTGGTCTTGTCCCAAGTTTTACTGGTTACGATGCTTACAATGACACTTTATAATAACAGCCTTCTAAACTAGTCCGCATCCAGCGTAATGCATACTAAACATAACACTGTTTTCCTCTTCCTCTGTCCAATTTTCTTCCATCCCCTTTGCTTCTCCTCCACCCCGTCCCTTTCCCTCTATACCCTCCTCTATTTTGTTGTTTAGAGTATTTAATTAATTCATCTGAGATATCCTTATGCTAGATATACTTGACACTAATGTTATTTCACGTGTATTCTTATATTGTTCATTATTATTTATGCCTCCTTTTCTTTCAATAAAATGAATTAAAACAAAACAAAAAACTTTTGTATGTTGAGTGTAAAATTTTCTCACATATGCCATGACTATAGTAGAACCATTTATTTTAGCGTTACTTTGATCAATGCAATAAACCTTCCTTTTTCTCCTTCTAAATAAACAATCCTCAACGTTCTAAACAACTGGACGCCATACACGGAAGAGCAATCCTATTGGTTGTAAAGTGTTTGAGGCGCGACCTATCCTATCGTTACTTTCTCTGTCAGTTTACAGTCCGCAGCTGCGCTAAAAAGCTTGGTCCTTTGTGCTCAGCGATTGGCTACACGGGTCGGTGACGTCACTGACCTGTCAGTGGTGTTGTCTGTGCAGTGATTGCGCTATATTTGCTCCCTTTCTAAGAGCAGGAGACCGTGAAGCCGCATAGTAGCAGGAGCAAGGTGAGTTTAGTTACCCAATACAGGATTGTGTTAGGGTTGGCTGAGCATTATGGGAAGCATAGTCCACAGCACGCAAAGTGCCAAAAATGATTTAATACTCCTATAGATAGTATTCTCTTACTTTTTCCCCCCTCTGTTTACCCATTACATAGAGGTTATCTTAAAAATTATGTTTTCCCCTTCTTTTCTAATGTCATATTATTATGTATTATATATAACATTTTTAATGGTGTTACATTTTAATGTTAATAATCAAATGGTTATACAACTGAAATGACTATTAAAAATCTGATATGATAACACTGTAAATTTTAAATGAATGTTTCGTTATTTATTTTTACATTGAGGCTAGTCTGAGATTAATGCTGCTTTTCAGCCATGAATGGAAAAGTAAGAAATTTAAAGGATGCTTATTTTTTGTTTTTTTTTATATATATAATTGTTTGTCATGTCTGGTGTAATATATACTTTGCTTTACCTTGTGAGGCAGATTTGGGTAGTGTAGCTGAGTTGTACAAAGATTCCAGTAAAGAAACTCTCTACTGTGTAATAATGTACATATATAGCATGTGTCTTAACGTTTTATTATTTTGTTAATATTATATAGAATAATATATCATTATAATCACTGTGTATCTATAGACTGCAAGCTAACTCACACTAAAGTGCCCAAAGAGACCTAAACAGGGGACAGGGAAGACAATTTTGGTCTGTGTTAGGTTGTGCCTTGGCACATCCCTTGTGTACACACCAGTAAGAGTACTTTTATACCAGGCCTTTTTTTTTTTACTGTGGATACTAAGGGACATGTGTACAATGTGTCTTTATAAAGTAAGTTGCTGCTGTCAGTGGTATTGTTAAAAGAGGAATTATTGTTTACTTTTGCCTCAGTTTGGAAAGGTATGTTTCTGAAAGCAGATAGCAAGCATACACATCTTCCTTTTTACTATCAATACAAGCCCTCCACCCTTATAAACATTTGATAATCAGGCCTTAGAGTTCAAGAGTGTTAAGCAGGCCTTCAGAAAAACATTACACTTTGTGAGATATCCCTGGTTCTTTGAAACTCTCCTTGGTGTTGAAACATTTTTCTCTAATTTAAAAATGTCATCCCTGTCATTGCAGAACAAACAAAATGCTTGTTGAGGTAACCCGTGGTTGATGATTCTGAAAAATATTGAATGTGCCACTTTCTTAAAATGGTCGCTGTCTTACATGATGCATCTTCTATATATCTTTCATGAAAGTCAATCCTCTCTTTTTTTGGTTCTTCCTGATTTTTCTGTCTGTTTTATTCGAGTTAGTACAGTTCAATAAAATTATTTATATAGTGAAAAGTGTTCCAGCTCAAGATATTACTTTATTTACAAAAAATATTTAAAACATCCAAAGCAGTCAAGTAATGACATATTAACTCACATCTTGATAAAGTACATGTGAATACATCCGAAATGTGTTAATTGCAAATTTTGCTAAAAGGAAGTCTCTAAACTTCTATGTGAGCTAATAGGCCATTGCTTGTCTACTTTGGATGCTGTTAAATATTTTTGGAAATTAAGGAATTTTTGTTTCTGTTTTTACATTTTTATTTATGTGTGCAATGATACATTCTCAGATACTGAGACTGTAAAAAAAGACTAGCATCCAAGAAAAATAATACGATATGTGTGCATATCATACACCAAAAGACAAATACAAAGATGTATCAATAAGGGATGTGATACACGTGGTGAAATAAATGCACATTTTTAGAATTTCAAGAACTCAGTAGTCAATATTGCTTAAATTAGACCTATGCCGTCGATGTTCCATATATGAGGAATATGAATAATAAAAGCTATGCTGCATTTAGCAAGATAATTTATACCCAGGCAAGGGTAGGTGTGTCGCTAGCAGCAGAAAATTTGGCAGAATCGACTGTGACCAGTATGACAGGCAGGGCTGGCGCTACCATAATACAGCTGCCGTGGGGAACTCCTTTAGGGGGGGCGTCAGAGGGCTATAAAGCTAGGGATTTGCAAGCAGAAGTAAAGTAGTACTAGTAGTAAGAGGTAGCCCGAAATATATAGAGAATGTCCTGGGGCTCTACTCCAGATATATAGAGAATGTCATAGGGCTCTACTCCTGATGTATAGAGAATGCCCGGGGTCTCTACTCCTGATGTATAGAGAATGTCCTGGGGCTCTACACCTGATATACAGTACACTCCTCACATTTTTATAAATATTTTATTATATATTTTCATGTGACAACACTGAAAACATGACAATCTGCTACAGTGTAAAATAGTAGGTATACAGCCTGTATAACAGTGTAAATTTGAGTCCCCTCAAAATAACACACAGCCATTAATGTCTAAACCGTTGGCAACAAAAGTGAGTACACCCCTAAGTGGAAATGTCCAAATTGGGCCCAAAGTGTCAATATTTTGTGTAGCCACCATTATTTTCCAGCACTACCTTAACCCTCATGGGCATGGAGTTCACCAGCTTCACAGGTTGCCACTGGAGTCCTCTTCCACTCCTCGATGACGACATCACGGAACTGCCCCACCTTCCATTTGAGGATGCCCCAGAGATGCTTAATAGGGTTCAGGTCTGGAGACATGCTTGGCCAGCCCATCACCTTTACTTTCAGCTTCTTTAGCAAGGCAGTGGTCATCTTGGAGGTGTGTTTAGGGTTGTTATCATGTGGGAAAACTGGCCTGCAGCCCAGTCTCCGATGGAAGGGGATTATGCTCTACTTCAATATGTCACAGTACATGTTTGCATTCATGGTTCCCCCATTGCCGGCAGCACTCATGCAGACCATGACACTCCAACCACCATGCTTGACTGTAGGCAAAACACACTTGTTTTTGTACTCCTCACCTAGTGGCTGCCACGTACGCTTGACACCATCTGAACCACATAAGTTTATCTTGGTCTAATCGGGCCACAGGACATGATTCCAGTAATCCATGTCCTTAGTCTGCTTCTCTTCAGTAAACTGTTTGCAGGCTTTCTTGTGCATCATCTTTAGAAGAGGCTTCCTTCTGGGAACGACAGCAATGCAGACCAATTTGATGCAGTATGCAGCGTATGGTCTGAACCTCTGCAGCAATACTGGCAGCACTCATCTGTCTATTTCCCAAAGACAACCTGTGGATATGATGCTGAGCACGTGCACTCAAGTTCTTTGGTTGATTATGGCAAGTCCTGTTCTGAGTGGAACCTGTCCTGTGAAACCACTGTATGGTCTTGCCCACCATGCTGCAGCTCAATTTCAGAGTCTTGGAAATCCTCTTATAGCCTAGGCCATCTTTATGTAGAGCAACAATTCTTTTTTTCAGATCCTCAGAGTTCTTTGCCATGAGGTGCCATGTTGAACGTCCAGTGACCAGTATGAGAAAGTGTAAGAGCGATAACACCAGATTTAACACACCTGCTTCACATTCACAACTGAGACCTTGTAACACTAACGAGTCACATGACACTGGGAAGAGAAAATGGCTAATTGGGCCCAATTTGGACATTTCCACTTAGAGTTGTACTCACTGTTGTTGCCAACGGTTTAGACATTAATGGTTGTGTGTTGAGTTATTTTGAGGGGACAGCAAATTTACACTGTTATACAGGCTGTACACTTACTACTTTACATTGTAGCAGAGTGTCGTTTCTTCAGTGTTGTCACATGAAAAGACTACTCCTGGAGACTCCGCTTCTTTAGATAGAAAACTATTTTGAGCTAGGCTCTTTCCCAATTCACTTTACCATTTCTGAGTAAACTGTGGAGGATCATCGTAGGCGATAGAGATTAACCATGAACTGTGGTAGGTTAACAGGTGAGGCACAGCAAGACCCCGTCTCTTTTCAGTTTATGTAGCAAAGAGTTAGGGTCTCTGCTCTTTCTTCCACCCAAATGAACGAGTAGATGTCCAATTGTATGAACTTCCCTGTTATTTAAAAATATGTTTGCTTATTTCTTTTAACCCTTCATTTGCAGTATTAAAGGAGTGTACCTTTAACCCCTTAAGGACAGGTGACATGTCATGATTCCCTTTTTATTCCAGAAAATTGGTCCTTAAGGGGTTAAATCTGTAATGTCGTAAATGATTTGTTTTTTTCTCTCCCTTTTACTTTAATATGGAATCTATTGACCACTGTAAATATATCCATACATTTTTGTTGTTGGTTTTTTGTTTTTTTTCCATACCAGCATGTGAGTGTTTATACATGCATGACATATTATTTAAACATTGTTCTTTTTCTTTAAAGGGACACTATAGTCACCAGAAGAACTACAGCTTATTGTATTTGTTCTTGTGAGTAGAATCATTCTCTTTAGGCTACATTACAGCATAGCAATACCTCCACTGGCCACTCCTCAGATGGCTATTTGAGGTGCTTCCTGAGGCAGTGCTGCACAATGTGCAACACTGCCATTTAGTGTTCCCACCCTCTGCGTGGAGACACTGAACTTTTCTCATAAAGATGCATTGACTCATTTTTATTTCTATAAGGAGATGCTGATTGGCCAGGGCTGTGTTTGGCTTGTGCTGACTCTACCCCTGATCTGCCTCCTTGACAGTGTAAGACAATTCTATGGGAAAATATTGTGATTGTCTCGGAACAACACTTCTGATGATAGCCAAGCAGGTAGATCGGGGCAGAGTCAGCATCTGCAGACTTGAACAAAAGTAAGATATTACTATATCTAGAGGTGCAAGGGAGGACCAGGGGAGCTGGATGGTGGTTTTAACACTATAGGGTCAGGAATACATGTGTGTTCCTGATCCCATAGTGTTCCTTTAATTTTTCAAAATGAGGGGGCTATGAAAAAGCTAGCTTACATTAGCTGCAGAACTAGAGTTTGCAGATTCTGTAACCCTTCCCCAATTCAGAACAGTCTTTCTGATTATGTGCTAAATTTTGTCCAGTCAAATGCTTCTGATTGTGAAATCCTGCTGACAAATCATGCATGCACACAATTGACCAATCATACACGTTTATATTAACATATCAGAGAAATATAATGCAATTTTTGTGGATTGTGATTTTCAATACAACTAAGAAAAAATTCTGTTGTGACAGATTTTTCTCAGGGCAGCCAAAATTTGCTTTGGAATCACGTATCCCTTGACAGTAATGTATTTGATGGATCACCGTTGATACAGAAGGATACAGTAACTATGAGATTCTCTGTTAGCAGGTAATCTTATAACAATCACACAGTAGAAAGATGCTGTGTTTTGTTTTTTCGTGCCTTGAATATTCCTGTTCATTGCTAACCATAACTTCAATACTGAACTAGCACAGCCGATGGCAAGCAGGCTGACACAAGGACATCACTTTCATAGGCTATACACTGCAAGAAAAAAATGGCAAGATTAGTAAGTGCTGTGTGCTGTAGCTCATTGTGTTCACGATAACCAAGGAAAACAGGCCTGCTTTCTAATCTCTGACTTCTATTCAGGGAAAGGACATTTATTTCCTTTAATGGGAATCTGTCATCCATGTATTACATAATATGTACTAGCCTTACCCGGCCAGAGCTTCTGTGCGTTGGTACTTTAACTCCTTCCTGTGTCTTTCACTCCCTGGTTCTGCTGGCCACAACCACAGCAGCATCTTACATTGTTGTGTCTGCTCCTTCCTGTGTTGTCGCTGTTTCATATAACTGGCACAACCATACACTCATCATTGCCATTGCTAAGTCCTCTTCGTCCCCCCCCTTAATATTTCATAAAGCCCACTGTTTTTTGATGTTACTATGTCTTCTCCTGCTGGAGCCTGTTAGGGTGGAACCACATTTTATTTTGGTCGACAGTCACATTCTCTTAATAGAGTCCAATCTCTTTTAGATATCAAGGCATAAACAAGTGTTCTGTGGGGAAAAGTGCCATGTATGAGGAGCAGTGGCATAGCTAGAGCTTTTGCGGCCCAGGGCTGTCCCTGAGTTTGCCGCCCCTATCTCGACCCAAATACAAAATCTTTTCCATCACAAATTTAATAATTAAACAAGTTGCAATACAATTGTCAGTTTCACTGATAAAGTGGCTATGTATAATTATTGGTGAAACTGACAATTGTATTGGCACTTATTGAATGAAACAAATCATTTTTGGGGAAAAATATTTTCTATTTGCACTTTGGTGCAAGGAGAGAGGGGATCTGTGAATACAGGGAGAGAGGGGGTCTATGCAGAAAGGGGTCTCTGAGAGAGAAAGGGGACTGTGCAGGGAGGGAGGGGGTCAGTAAGAGTGTAAGGAAGGAGGGAGTGGGGCTGTGCAGGGTGCAGGGAATAAAGGAGGGGACCAGTGCAGATGAGGGGGTCTGAGCAGGGAGGGAGGGGGCTGTGAAGGGAGAGAGAGGGGATCTGAGTAGGGAGTGAGGGGGATGTGAAGGGAGAGAGAGGGGATCTGAGCAGGGAGTGAGGGGTCTGTGAAAGGGGGAGAGAGGGGATCTGAGCAGGGAGTGAGGGGTCTGTGAAGGGGGCGAGAGGGGACTTGAGCAGGGAGGGTGGGGGTCTGTGAAGGAGGGGTGCAGAGGGGGAGGGGGTCTGTGAAGGGAGAGAGAGGGGATCTGAGCAGGGAGACAGGGGTCTGTGAGGGTGCAGGCAGGGGCTCTGTGAGGGTGCAGGCAGCTGTCTGAGAAGGGGATGTGAGGATGCAGGCAGGGGGCTGTGCAGCAAAAAAGCATACCTGTTGACTTTGCCAGCACTCTGCAGCATAGACATAGAATACCTAGACGTCGCATTCCGTACTGAGCGTCGAGGAATGCGGGCGCCATCTTGGACCGGTCGCCACTCTACTGAAGCTATTCAAGAACCCTTAGAAAGTCCATCTCCCAAAAGGTCAGTGAAGGACTTGGGGCACTTATAGTCCTTAATACCCCTACCCCTTAATACCCCTAGTCCTAGTCCTTAATACCCCTACTCCTAGTCCAACCCTTCAATACCCCTAGTCCTTAATACCCCTACCCCTACAGTGTTAATAGCACTATCCCACCACACATAGTCCTTAATACAGTGTTACTACCCCAGCACACACAGTGTTAATACACATAGTGTGCTGGGGTAGGGGTATTAACACTTTGTGTGCTGGGGTAGGGGTATTAATGACTAGGTGTGCTGGGATAGAGGCTGGGGTAGGGGTATTAACACTGTAGGGGTAGGGGTATTAAGGGGTTGGACTAGGGGTATTAAGGACTAGGACTAGGGGTATTAAGAGGTAGAGGTATTAAGGACTATTAGTGCCTCAAGTCCTTCACTTACCTTTTGTGATATGGACTTTCTAAGGGTTCTTCAATAGCTTCAGTAGAGCGGTGACCGGTCCAAGATGGCGCCCGCATTCCTCGACGCTCAGCATGGAATGCCATAGACATGCGGCGTCTATGCTCCGCAGGACAGGAGGAGAGCACAGGAAGTTATCTCACTTCCCATCCTCCTGCCCCGCCTCTTCCCCTCTCTCTCTGCACCGCACGGAGGAGACCTGGGAAGCAGAGCAGAATCTCTGCCAGGTCTCACTCAGAAGATTGGAGGAGGGTCAGTACTGGAAGGAGCAGGGACATTAAAACAGCCCCCCAAAAAGTGCCACCTGGGGTGGACCGCCCCCCCTTACTACGCCTGTGATAAGGAGCAATCACCTTGAAAACAAAAAGAAAATCAAACAGTTATGATCAGAAAAGTGGAGCAAAGTTTTGAATGTGAAGCCATCTCCATGGAAACTGGTGATTACTTTGCACCACATTCCAGATAATGATGCTGTTACATTTCCCCCAGTGTCTTGCAACATTTACCACATTGCCCCAAGGACCACCTGTTTTTCATTGGTAATTATGTCCTCATATTGTTTTGCATGTTGTGTCGTATTTTAATAAAATTATGTCTGTGGCTCGTTCCATGTTGCCGAGCATTTTTTCTCCCTCATTTTTGTTTTACTGCAGATGGTAAACATTTCGTTTTCTGGTTTTCAAAGTGAAGCTTAATACTAATCACCTACCTAAATATTGTACTATTCACACACAATTTAATGGTATATTCTTCCTGCATTGTTTAATTCATTTTAGAAAAGAAACATGTCTTCTTCAGATGACTGGACACCTGAAGAACTGGACAGCACTTCTTCGAAACTTCTCCGGAAATCTCAGGAGTCTCCCTTCGTCCCAGCAGGTAAATATCAATAAATAGCTTTGTATTAAGGGGGACATTTGTCAGGTACTTAAATGGATGTCCCAGACCACCCATTTACTGTCATGCAAAATATAGATGATCTTTGCATAAGCAATTAGAAAATTAACACAATCTTCTATTTCCCCCTCAAGCTATCTCTAGTCCGTCCACTTCCTCTCTGATAAATTCTCTTTAGTGGGTGTTCGGTACAGATTCTAGTGCACATGACCATTGCCCATTAATACCAATGGAAAGAACTTGCACTTGAATGGAACTTATTGAGAGCTTACTTTGCGTACTCTATTAGATTCAATGGAAGATCAGGGATTACCTTAGAGCATCCAGCATTTCCTTTAAGCATGCCAACATCAGAAAAGGCAAATTGTGAAATCTCAAAAGTATTTTACATGAAAATGGAGAGGGTTTTTCACATTTTGTTTGATTTTTCAAGGTCCCATATGGAGCATGCATTGGTTTTCGAAAAATGTCTCCCCACAAAGCAAGAGGGGGGGAGACACTGTACTGGCTTTGGTTGTTAAGATCGGGGATAAAGTAAATCTAAATCGCAACCTGTTAAACAATGCTTAGAATCGTATGAAAAATAAAGAATAAAAAAAAAAAAAAATGCTTAGAACTAAAGGGGGTAAAAAGAAGGGTATCCTGCTACTTAATCAAAAAAGTCTCCAATATTCTCCATCATAGAACTACTTTATTGATATACAAAATAAAAAGGGGGAGCAATGGGTGAAACAGGATATCAATACACCCACTTCTGTTCCTGCGTAATGCCCACCCCATCTTGAACACTAGGGAGATGGCTTACCGCCGATAAAATGGGAGGATCTTTGGGCGGATTAGAAGATATTTCTAACCGCCCATCACTACGTATATGTCCCGCCCTCATATGATGACTCCTATTGTGAGGGTGTGAACCGGCAACATTCCGATCAGGAGGGGAGGAGCTAGGGGCGTTTTGGTGAAGTCACGCCGCCCACTACCCGCCTCCTTTTTCGTTCATTTTATTTTTCTTTATATTTATATCTTTTGGGTCCAAGCCCCATTTGGGTGGATCTGGCACCACCCATAGAATGTGACGGCAGATAAGAACCATTCGGCCCATCTGGTCTGCCCTATTTTCTAAATACTTTCATTAGTCCCTAGCCTCTAGTTAGGATAGCCTTATGCCTATCCCATGCATGCTTAAACTCCTTTACTGTGTTAACCTCTACCACATCAGCTGGAAGGCTATTCCATGCATCCACTACACTCTCAGTAAAGTAATACTTCCTGATATTATTTTTAAACCTTTGTCCCTCTAATTTAAGACTATGTCCTCTTGTTGTGGTAGTTTTTCTTCTTTTAAATATAGTCTCCTCCTTTACTGTGTTGATTCCCTTTATATATTTAAATGTTTCTATCATATCCCCCCTGTCTCGTCTTTCCTCCAAGCTATACATGTTAAGATCCTTTAACCTTTCCTGGTAAGTTTTATCCCGCAATCCATGAACCAGTTTAGTAGCCCTTCTCTGAACCCTCTGTAAGGTATCAATATCCTTCTGAAGATACGGTCTCCAGTACTGTGTACAATACTCCAAGAGAGGTCTCACCAGTGTTCTGTACAATGGCATGACCACTTCCCTCTTTCTACTGCTAATACCTCTCCCTATACAACCAAGCATTTTGCTAGCATTTCCTGCTGCACTATTACATTGTCTGCCTACCTTTAAGTCATCAGAAATAATCACCCCTAAATCTCTTTCCTCAGTTGTTGAGGTTAGGACTCTATCAAATATTCTGTACTCTGCCCTTGGGTTTTTACGTCCAAGATGCATTATCTTGCACTTATCCACATTAAATGTCAGTTGCCACAATTCTGACCATTTTTCTAGTTTACCTAAATCATTTGTCATTTGGCTTATCCCTCCTGGAACATCAACCCTGTTACATATCTTAGTATCATCAGCAAAAAGACATACCTTACCATCAAGACCTTCTGCAATATCACTAATAAAAATATTAAAGAGAATGGGTCCAAGTACAGATCCCTGAGGTACCCCACTGGTGACAAGTCCAAGCTTCGAATATATTCCATTAACTACAACCCTCTGTTGCCTGTCACTCAGCCACTGCCTTACCCATTCAACAATATTGGAATCCAAACTTAAAGATTGCAGTTTATTAATAAGCCTTCTATGTGCAACAGTGTCAAAAGCCTTACTGAAATCTAGGTAAGCAATGTCTACTGCACCACCCTGATCTATAATTTTAGTTACCCAATCAAAAAAATCAATAAGATTAGTTTGGCATGATCTCCCTGAAGTAAACCCATGTTGTCTCTGATCTTGAAATCCATGTGTTTTTAGATGTTCATCAATCCTATCCTTTAACATGGTTTCCATCACTTTCCCCACTACTGAAGTAAGGCTTACTGGCCTATAGTTGCCCGACTCCTCCCTATTACCTTTCTTGTAAATGGGCACAACATTTGCTAACTTCCAATCTTCTGGGACTACTCCTGTTAACAATGATTGGTTAAATAAATCTGTTAAGGGTTTTGCTAGTACACCACTAAGCTCTTTTAATAGCTTAGGGTGTATTCCATCAGGTCCCATTGACTTATTTGTCTTTACTTTTGACAGTTGAAATAGAACCTCTTCCTCTGTACACTCACGTGGTCTACTATGTCAAACCCCACTGACTACTGTGTGTTTATCCCATTTGCCACTTTCTTTGTTTGCATCTTGCATTGGATTTCTCATTTTATTGGGAGCATATTTTATTTAATGTCATATTATCAAAAATGCTTATTAAATATATAATTTTGTATAGCTAATTTCACATTGGGGCTGCTATGAGACATGGGATACATCTCAGTAATTACATTTCAATGCACTGTGGATTGTCTCAAATTTGGCCTTGTCGCCTCCAAAAAAGAAGCAAATTACTAAATGCATGTGCGACATTGCCCTGCACCTGGGATTTAGGTAAATATGTTTGGTGAAATAGAAGAGAAAACTGGCTCATAATACTAAATGTTGCTATTTTAAAATATATTAAAATTGTTAAAAAGGTTTAATGGAACTTTCATTCAGATCATGGGAGATTTTGGACATCTTTTTATGATCTCCCAACCAACCAAAATAGGAGGATTAAAACTATAGCATTAGGAATTCATGTTTGTATTATTAACACTATAGTGTTCCTTTAAGCTGCAGTGACCTATTTTACCTTCTTTGCCTGCATCCCATTAAAAGTTTGCAATGACATCCAAATTGGCATGGAATAAGGAGACTTAAAGGGACTCTCCAGTGCCAGGAAAACAAATCCGTTTTCCTGGCACTGCAGAATCCTGCAGTGCCCCCCTGCCTACCATCCCTCATCCTATGTTGCTTAAGGGGTTAAAATCCTTTCGGTGACTTACCTGAATCCAGTACTGATGTCCCTATGTCAGCCGGTGGGGGAGACCAAATGCGAATGCGCACACATTAGACCTCCCCATAGGAATGCATTATTCGGTGCTTTCCTATGGGGATTCTGGCGACGCTGGAGGTCCTCATGCATAGCGTGAGAACGTCCAGTGTCGTTTAAAACACTTTTCGTATTTTAAGAAGCTGGAAGTCCCTCTAGTGGCTGGAAGTCCCACTAGAGGAGGACTTAACCCTGCAAAGTAATTATTGCATTTTATAAAAACTGCAATAATTACACTTGCAGGATTAAGGGTGATGGGAGTTGGCACCCAGACCACTCCAATGGGCAGAAGTGGTCTGCGTGCCTGGAGTGTCCCTTTAACAAGAGCTATTTTCCTTGCTTTTGCCAAGGCCTTTGACATAGTAGACCATGGCATTCTTTTGCAAAAATGTAAAAACTCAGGCATTGGTGATCGTCCGCTAATCTGGTTTTGATCGTATGTTTCATACCAATGGCAATATGTGACCATTTCTAATAGCGCTTCCCTCCCTCTTCCAGTCATGTGTGGTGTTCCGCAAGGCTCCATACTCTCGTCCCCCTGCTATTCACATTATTTATAAATGATCTGCCTAATGTCTGCAAATCCTCAACCGTACACATGTATGCAGACGACACTGAAAGCTACGCTAATAAACCCAAGCTACCGCAGCTTAAGGCTGTGCTCCCAAACTAATTCACAGAGGTAGAAAAGTGGATAGCGGATAACAAACTCTTCCTAAACAATGACAAAACTGTTACAATGATCTTTGGAACTGTACCTAAATTATGTAAACCACAAAATCAACAACTCTGTATTAGAACAAATTCAAATAAAACACTGACAGCAGTCTGCTCTTTTAAATATCTATATTTGCTAGACCCCAATCTATCCTTTGGCCTTCACGTTGAAAAAATCTTTTCAAAACTTTACCCAAAACTAGGTGCCCTGTACAGAATTAAATCCTGCCTAAGCCCTACAGTAAGGAAACAGATAGTGCAACAAATGCTAATGCCGGTCATTGATTATGGGGATGTAGTGTATGCACCCGCATCGCAAACCCACCTTAATAAACTTAATACGTTATATAATTCGTTCTGCCGCTTTGTACTAGAATGTAATTACTTTACCCACCACTGTGACATGGTAAAAGAGCTAAATCTGTTTTCGCTGGAATCCCGACGCACTCTTCATCTTTCCAGCCTTGTGCATAAGAGCATTTCTGGGAAACTCCCCACCCTACCTGAGTAGAAAGCTCTCCCCGGCTGTTCCCACCTCCTATAACCTCCGATCCAGTACCAGCACGATATTTAGCATACCGCAATACAAAAATAAGGTGGCTCAATCCTCATTTTCCTACAGAGCACTGCAATTATGGAATAACCCCAGGGACACAGTCCAATCTTCATTCAATCTAAAAAATCTATGGCAATATACCTCAGCACGGAATGCACCTGTCATGGTTGAATATATTTATTACCTGTTGTGTATTAAATTTACAACTATTTTTATAGTTTGTATATTTTGTAATATTGTATCCTATTGTAACAATGCAATGTTTTGTGGACTCAGGACATACTTGAAAACTAGAAATCTCAATGTATCCATCCTGGTAAAATATTTTATAAATAAGCACAGCGTCTTCCCTACAAAATGTATATTGTGCAGTAAGGCACAAGGACTAAATGTATTATAATATTACTGTTCCCCACCAGGATTGGCTGCATTTACAATAAAGTGGGGTAGTAAAATAGATAATTTGCGGTTTCTACTGTGGAATGAATTTAGATGTCACAGCCTGACTGAGATATCCTGAAAGACACCAAAAACTGTGACAGGCAGTAGCTGTCATTCCCCTGGATGGGAAAGTGACTTCTCTCTTCCTTTTCTATTCATGTGACACAATGCAGCTCCTATTTAATTTTTGTTGCACACTGAGGAACTTTAAAAAAAAACTCCTCAAAGACTCCTACACAAGTCCAGGCCTATGAAGTGCCTACTTTACTCCTATGTCTCTTCAGAATTGCGTAGTTTCCCTTCCTTTACATGCAGTGCCTAACAGTACCAGAATTATAGGCCCACGTTATTAGCTTTGCCACGGGAGAGGTTGTGAATGTCATCTTTTCCCATGATACCCAGACAGCTTTTAGGTTTTTGTGAGCGTCATTGGAAATCTAATTCACATGCATATGCAGTGTCAGCGTTTACCTGGTAGACTAACCCTTAATCTGTCCGAGCATCATGGGAAATGTAGTTTTTAAATATATGCCATCACTGGTATATGTGGTTGTCTTTGGCATGAGTAACTGTACATGAAATATCTGATCACAATATCATAAGAACACAGGTCTATGTCAGAGCAATAGCTGCTGCCTGAAAAGTGACACAGAATGTAATTATACTTGGTCGCAATAATGTTGTTAAACAAACCAAACCAAAGTTTATAATGTCTCATTTGATTACATTTCCCCCATTAACATCAACCAAACCAGTTAAATGACAGATCACTTTCATTTTGTCCTGTTGCTGTCAGGCCAGATCTCATTAGTGATATTTAATTTACATGGAGACACTACATATAATCTGTATTCATCCTGAACATTCAAATCACTGCATCAACAGCCTGTATAGCAGTTTGTGAATTTTAGAACATCAGTTTAATCTGTATGGTAATAAAGGGCTTATTTCTGGTTCCCCACAGCTCGTACATCTAAATAGGTTAGGAGTCCATCTAATGTTAGAATGTTATGTAATGATAGAAATAGAAACATGTATTTCTTTAATAAATGCCATTTCAATACACCATGTTTATCGCTCATTTTAAAAAAAATATCACCGGATACAACAAATTCAGAATCAGTCAGTCTGATGCATTTTGCAATATCAGTTGTTTAGTATACTTTACAGAAGTGTATTATTATTTTCTGTAGTATTGTCAGTTTCTTTGTTTTTTGTGTTTTTTATTTTATTTTCACATGTAAACAGATGCAGTGAAGAACAGATGTAAATGGTGGCTTCTGTTGATATTTAATTGACATTATCCTGTTAAGAACATGCGTGTGTGTGTGCTTTTAAACAGCACATAGTAGCTCTTATCCCATCAAGGTCTGTGTGATCATTCTTCATTAGTTCTATTTAATAACAAAGCAATTTAATTAGCATGCCAAGCAGACCGTTTGAAAGACTCCAGGAACATCACCTTGTATAAATGGCCCTTTCATGAGCTTTGGTCATTTTTGTGCTTTCAATCCCTATTTTCTCTGCGGTGGAGGAAAATGTAGCATTGCCTGCAGATATTCACGTCTTAAAGACAGGAAAAGGGATGTGCTTTCATACTAGCAACTGTCCCGATTTTCATGGGATAGTCCTGTTTTTTGGGTCTTTCTCAATATTCTTATTGTACTGAGACTTAGATCCCACATTTTAGAAAATGTAATTTTCAAAAAATAATTTTGATTTAAGATTCTTTATTTTATAGAAAAAAACCTAATTAAAAATAGAAGATAAATTGATAGATGTTTTGGGCTCATTTCCAATGTTTTTGCTACTTGCAGGTACTCTGTAAAGTGTCTGCCTTTACTGGTAGTTGTAACGGCTGTTTACTGACTACAAACGTTTTCACAAGTGGTGACTGGGATTTACTATTCACTATGGTCAACACTCCTATAAACGACTTACTTGATGGCACTGCTGCAAAGTTTTCTTGGGCATTTTTTTCCAAAAATTGGCAACTATGTTAAATTAAGCTTTACCTTATAATACACTAAAACACACATATAAGGCAGAGTGTGGCTTAACTTGTTTAGCTGAGCATCATGGGAAATATAGGCCACTACGACCTGTATGCTGAATAGTAAAGAGATACTCTTAAGCACCAAAACAAGTGGTTTTGGAGTGTAATTATGTCTATGTAGTCCACTGCTAAATGTTATGCTATTTAGGAGTTGTCACTTCATTTATGCAGCTTTAGCCACACCGCTCCTGGTTGTCCGGTATAACTAAAGTTGTTATGGTCCTTAGTGTTGTTTAACCATCATCACTGTGCAGGTCTTTTTTCTTTCTTTATGTTAACCCCTTAAGGACCAGACTTCTGGAATAAAAGGGAATCATGACATGTCACACATGTCACGTGTCCTTAAGAGGTTAAAGAAATTCTGAAATTGTGATTTAAGACTCTAGAAAAAGTACATTTACATTTAGCAGAGAGTTGTAGTGATTTTAGTGCCCAGACTGACCTTTTAATATTGTTGTAGATCGTGGATATAGTGTGATAAATTGCTAGGTGTCTTGGTTTGTCAAAAAAATAGGTCTCTTCCTGTACCCAAAGCCCAGTTCTTTTGTCCTCTCCAAGATTGAGAAGTTTAATTTCCAAATTCATTATTAACAGGACACCTTGGACCTCTAAAACAATTTAAGCTTGCTGAAATTCTCTATGTGTGAAGTGTCTTTTTTTAATTTTACAAAAAGTGCAGATTTCCATGGACCTTGACAGCTTTATAAATTCGCCTGGTTACACCCCCTGGCTTTCAAGCAGAAAACAAGTTTTGTTACTTCCTGATTTTTTTTTCAGCTCAGTAAAGCTAAACTCAACTCAAGAGGCAGGCAGCTGCTCAGAGCACCTATCCACAGAAGGTCTAGGCTAGATTAGAAGGTGAGGGCATGCAAAGCCAGCCGGTGAGAGATCTGTAGCTTTTGAAAGCAATTTTTAGATACACTCCCTATGAACAAATACCTAATAATACATATTGTAAGCTGTTATTTTTTTTTTTTTTACTATATATTACAGTGTATGATGCCATTTTGTGTTATATTGTTTATCCCCCCCACACACATACGCTATATATTATATATCACACAGTATATTATATGTATTATTACAATATATTATATATCACACAGTATATTGTATTTTTCATTACTATATATTATATATTTATATTATACATTATACAGTATATTATATTTATTATTACTATACATTTACACTGTATATTATATTTATTGTTATTATACATTATATATTACACAGTAAAGTATATTTATTACTATATATTACACAGTGTATGATGCCCATGTAGTGTTATGTTGTGTGTGTATATACACTATATAATATATATATATAAAGATGAAGCTCAGTTTATCCCCAGGCGGGGGGGGTAAGAGAAGTACCCGGAAGTACCCCTGTACTTCCGGGATTGCAGGGCCTCAAATGCTGATTTCCGTTTCCGTTATCAAGACCCGAGGCCCACCAGCCCCGTGCTCTCCCACACTGCCACCCTGTATAGCCCTGCACACCCTCTGCGCCCACTGGGCCGGGAGAGACACTTAGCGCATCAGCCACCACAATCTTGGATCCACGTGTCCTTGCTGACTTCAGCGGAAGTGACCCGTCCTTGGCTACCTGGGCTTATCACTATGGAGACGGGAGGATGCTGAACACTGACAGCCTTTAAATGCTTCCCCCCCGATCCATGGTCCCCCCCTGACCTGTCCCTCCTACATAACATGACCATTCTTCACCTGGTCCATAGGCGTGATGGCATGGGGACAGCGGCTCATGGTATAAACCTGCCTCTCATTCCTCCCCCGTGTATTGTGATCTCTCACACTTCTGATACTTGGAAGTGGTACTAATGAAAGTATTTAAAAAAATTGGGCAGACTAGATGGGCTGAATGGTTCTTATCTGTTGTCACATTCTATGTTTCTATGGAAATTGTGCCCTCTAATACTACTGGCTACTAACCGGGCATTGTGCCCTCTCATAAGGGATTGGGGGGTTGGGGGAGGAGTGTAATTTCCGGAAGATTTTACCCATTTCGGTGCATCCCTAGTTGAATTCATTAGGAGTGAGAAGCATTGGATGTCACCTTAATGGTTATAGTGGAGCCACCCTACATCTAAATAGCTTAGAAGTACATTAGAATGTTATGTAATATTAGAAATAGAAACATGTATTTCTAAAATTCTTTAATATAAAGTTAATAGCAAACCGAGCATTTCATGGAAAACGGTTAACACAAGTTATAGTTTAACAGTTCTTTTTAAAGCCCGTAAGATGCTAAATGCACAGTAGATGTTTGTGGTTTAGTCTTTCAGTTCAAATGGCTTTTCTTGTTTCACCACACAGGAGTGGCTGGCTTCTTGGCTGTTGTGGCATATGGCCTGTACAAGCTACGTAACCGTGGAGACCAGAAGATGTCCGTTCATCTCATTCACATGAGGGTTGGTGCTCAAGGATTTATTGTTGGTGCTATGACTTTTGGTAAGCTGAAACCCAGTTAAGGTTATTTTCAGTAAATATAAAAAAGTTAGGCACAAAAAAAAGTCACTGGTTAGAGCAGGAATCCTGGGTCTGGATACAAATCTGGGTCCACGTTGGTTAGAACAAGCACAAAAACAAAATCAATAAAATGTATATTTTAGCAACAGTGTCTTTCGAAGTTCAATGGAGAGCAGTTTGAAACTGAGTTTAATGAAGTTATTTTACATTAACACTGTGAATTTTAGTATGTTTTATTATATTTGAAGATTGTCATTAAGGTGATTTTACTATTTAGGGATTCATTCCCAAGTAATGCTATGTATACAGGGCCGCTGTCAGGGGGTGACAACCATGATGGTTGTCGCGGCCCTAGGGGGCCCAGCCGCCCAAGCCCCACGTGGAGCTACAAAACTGCCGCAGGTGCATCTGCACTAGGGCCCATCAGGTGGCCCAAACATTTAGTGCCACCCGAAGAGCCCTATATTTTCAGGGGCCCAGTCAGCGCTGCGGCCGTGTAATAGCGTGACCGGGCCCCTTTAAAAAAAATTGTGGCTGCCCCGCAAGTGCTGCTGGGAGAAAATGACGGCCGGACACTTCCTCCCAGCTTACTCCGCGCGGGGGGAGAGAGACAGCCGAGGAGAGGCATCCGCTCCCATCATCCCCAGCCACCATCCTGCAACGAAAAGGTAAGGAAGAGGAGGGTGGCTGATAAATGAGGTGTGTGTATATGTATGTGTCTGCATGTATGTCTGTATGTATGTCTGTTTGTCAGTATGTATGTATGTATGTATGTCTGTATGTGTGTGTGTGTATGTCAGTATGTATGTCTGTGTGTATGTATTTATCTATCAGTATGTATGTATGCATGTGTGTGTGTGTGTGTGTGTGTGTGTGTATGTATCTGTATGTGTGTGTATGTCAGTATGTATGTCTGTATGTATCTGTGTGTGTATGTATATATCTGCATGTGTGTATGTCAGTATGTATGTCTGTATGTATGTGTGTATGTATGTATGTCTGTATGTATGTGTGTGAATATGTATGTACGTCAGTGTGTGTGTCTGTATGTCGGTATGTGCGTGTATCTTCTTATGCATGTGTCTGTATATGTGTGTGTTAGTATGTCTGTATGTCTGTTTCAGTGTGTGTGTCTGTTAATATGTGTGTAACTTTCTGTGTGTGTGTCTGTGTCCTTTTGTGTCTGTGTATTCCTGTGGGCGAGATTCCTGTGGGCGAGACATTGAGCTGTGTTAGGGGCCCCACAATTTCTGATGGCGGCCCTGTATGTATATAATTTGGATCTAGAAATATTCTCTCACTTTGACAGATTATTACCTATAGTAATCACGTATTAAATATTTAAATGATTTTAATAGTTAAGGTGTTTGGTCATTGCCAGGTCACACCGAGAGCTCCCCACTACTCTCCAACTAATCTACAATATATGGGTCGAGTCCGGGGCAAATCCAACCCCTGTAAATAAAATATGGCGACAAGAGAGAAACACATTATATTTAGGGCTAAAGGCAGAGAAACAAAGATGTGAGTTAAATGTGCACCTTAGAGGGGTAGGTGACTCTGCATGTGGTATACAATATCCATGATGCACAGCCAACTCTTAAGGCTGGATGAACACGATGTGAATTGAAATTCACAAGCAGCTGCAAGGCCTATGCTTTGAAGAGGTTTGTGAACTTGTAGTCCGCAAGCATGTGGTGCCTGATGTTCAAAATGTACAATCCTCATGATGCTCAAAGACCTGGTTTAATGTTATGGGGATTGCAGTTTTCGAATCAATGCAGTGCTTGGCCTTCAAAGATGTTTGTGAACTTCAAATCACATGATACTCAGACAGCCTAAACAGCATCACTTCTGTGTTTTGCACAGGATGCCTGGATGGCTTGAGAAACTTACGTATTTTGTTCAAGTCATGCTTATGGGTGTTCCTGTATGAGGCTGTCCAAGGATTCCTGTTTCAAGAACCTCATAGAAGTGGAAAGGCAGGGGCAGAGATAAACAGCGTTAGAGTCAAGACCTCAGGGTTAAACCATTTGTAAACAGTTGAACTTCATTCTAATGAAGTTGCTATGGTGCCTGGAGTGTTCAGTTGAAGGACTCGAAACTAGGGAAGAGAGTCTGATAAAACAGGGTAGGGAATTCCAAAGAAAGGAATGTGGTAGCCCATTAAAATTGAGAGTTGGAAGTGTGGGAACAAGCAGATGACAAGAGAAGGTCACTGGCAGAGCGAAGTCTACAATAAGGGATGTATTTGCTGAATAAATGTAGTGAAGGGTGGAGTTATATAGGGCTTAGTAGGTTTGTGAAAGCAAGTTGAATTGGCTCCTGAGGGGTACAGAAAACAAATAGAAAGATTGTCAAAGGGGTGAGGTGTAGGAGTAGCGGTCAATTAGGAAGATGAGCCTGGCGGCAACATTTGGGAAAACTGTGTGATTATTCTCAGTGTTTAAATCCAAAGCCAATTGCTACCATGTATTTCAGCTCCTAGGGTCCACTAATCATCCCTACATTACATTCAATGTTTAAAAAGAAAAAGAAAGCAGCGACCGAAAAAGGTTAACATAGGGAGGTGTGGAGGACATTAGTCGTCAGTACATTGCAAGTTTACATTAACAGATCTGTTATTTGAGCGGTAAGATAAAATGTTTATTTACATTGGTTTCTTTATTTCCTGTTTTAGGAGTGATATACTCCATGTACAAGGAATACATCAAGCCTCGTTTTAGTCATCCATCTGATAAGTAGAATACAGAAGCGTATACTCGTGAGAACACAACAGCTACACATTCACCTGTGTCTGGGACCTGTCTAGCAAAGCATCTCACAGTTATTTTCTTTCCAGTGGATGAAAACACCCTTTGTTTTTAATGTAGGCGTACCTGTATTTTACGTGTGTCAGGCGTAGGCAATAGAATAATACTACAGGACATAAAAAGTGGAACACTTAGAGGAAATACCTTGGCTGCTATAGAACTGCATCTCTCAGATTGGTATGCAGCCATCAAACTGGCAAAGTAACATGGTAGTTGTGGTTCTACAGCAGCTGTGGATTAACCTTTGGTTACCTCTGTCTTGTTGAAGGAATTCATGTTTCTCTAACAATGGGCTGCTAGTATCGTGCAGGGAAAAATCTTCCTACACACCATATTCATTAAAAACTGCAATATTAAAAAAAAATATTGCCAGAGATCAGAGATGCAAATGTGATTTTTTTTTTTTTTTAAAAGAGGAAACATTGGTGGCCCTATGCCACTGCAGTATTGGGCAAGGCCTTTGCAACACATAAACAGTTGATAGCACTGATTAACCATAGCTAGTTTAAATTGCCAAAACAGGCCTGATTATTATTTTTATTAGTGGAGTTGAAGCGGTGAGAAGGTGAGAAAAAGTTTTGGGTTTTTTTGTTTGTTTTTTACTGGTGGTTTGTAGTTAATATCTTTAAAAATCAGATCAGGTTGAAACTGCATGCTTCCCTTCAAATTATTTAATATCTTTGGATCAACTTTGAATTTATTTTCCCAAACATACTAAAATATAAAAAAATATATCAGTGAAATATATCCGTATATTAAAAAAAAAATCTACATATGTAAATATTTTTAAAACTGTTAAATAATTTTAAAAGTGTATCCACAAATATTAAATCATTTGAATAGCTTAGCCAAATATATTAAATCAATGCCAATTTTAGACTATAACTCCCATCGCTTTCTGGCTGGCTAATTGGACAGTGAAATGTAGGTTTCAAGAATTATGTTTTTAAAATTAAACACAGTTAGCACCTGCAGTTAGTGAACAACCAAGTTAGTTTTTTTGTTGTTGTTTTTGTTTGTTTTTTAACCAAGAATGTATGGAAGTTGTGTAGTTTCCAGATTGTTATATTTTTAGAATGTATGGAAGTTGTGTAGTTTCCAGATTGTTATATTTTTTAACATTATCAGAACGGCATTACAGAAGATTAACCTTGTGTTCTACAAGAAACCTTGTAGAATGTTGTGAGTTGACTAACACCATTTAGGCAAAAATATTTAGAATAAACACTGTTATGTTGGTAGTTAATCCACAAATCTTGTGGGGGGGTTTTATATCACAATTGCAGTCATATTATTTTGTCAACCATATGTTGGGCCAGTAAACATGTCTTCTTTAACTCTGCTTGATGTTTGTTTATGTTTTACATATGGAAATACCACATTTTGAACAGACCGTTGACAAGTACTTTTTGACAGGGTTACAGATGCCACTTACACATAGTCATACTCTTTCTGTGGTCCTTTTTGTATGTTCACATCTTTCCTTAATGTTATTGCCATGCCAGTTCATCTGACCAATTAAACTCTGCACAGCTGTTTGGAGAATGCCAGTGGCTCTGTTGAATTCAAATATGAAGAGGGCTGGATATCCCATTAGGTACCTGCCTACAGGTGCATGACAAAAAGAGGTGTGAGGGGTGCCTAATCTGCCTGTTAAAAGCAGCTGACCTCAGTGCTTTGCAGTCTTCCCAGGCAGCAAATACCATAACTGATGCTGCAGGACCCCGTGTTATGTCTGGGGAGCCTGATCTCAGCATAGTTCTGTCCCCTAAGACTCAACACAGCGATCTCCAGCAAAGAAGAGAAAGGACTGGGGCATCGTATAAGCCTTACCGATACACACACACACACACAAACCCTTACCCACACAGCTGCACACACTAGTACACATTATGCTCCCCACATTGTTACACTGCGGAGCTCACTGAATCTCCACACTCATACAATGTACATGCTGCTAGCTACGCTGATACACGTCAACACATTCACACAGACATTTTATAGAATGTGACGGCAGATAAGAACCATTCGGCCCAATTTTCTAAATACTTTCATTAGTCCCTGGCCTTATCTTATAGTTAGGATAGCCTTATGCCTATCCCACGCATGCTTAAACTCCTTTACTGTGTTAACCTCTACCACTTCAGCTGGAAGGCTATTCCATGCATCCACTACCCTCTCAGTAAAGTAATACTTCCTGATATTATTTTTAAACCTTTGTCCCTCTAATTTAAGACTATGTCCTCTTGTTGTGGTAGTTTTTCTTCTTTTAAATATAGTTGTTTCTATCATATCCCCCCTGTCTCGTCTGTCCTCCAAGCTATACATGTTAAGATCCTTTAACATTTCCTGGTAAGTTTTTTTTATCCTGCAATCCATGAACCAGTTTAGTAGCCCTTCTCTGAACTCTCTCCAAGGTATCAATATCCTTCTGAACATACGGTCTCCAGTACTGCGTACATTACTCCAAGTGAGGTCTCACCAGTGTTCTGTACAGTGGCATGACCACTTCCCTCTTTCTACTGCTAATACCTCTCCCTATACAACCAAGCATTCTGCTAGCATTTCCTGCTGCTCTATTACATATATATATATATATATATATATATATATAATATTCTGTACTCTGCCCTTGGGTTTTTACGTCCAAGATGCATTATCTTGCACTTGTCCACATTAAATGTCAATTGCCACAATTCTGACCATTTTTCTAGTTTACCTAAATCATTTGCCATTTGGCTTATCCCTCCTGGAACATCAACCCTGTTACATATCTTAGTATCATCAGCAAAAAAGACATACCTTACTATAGAGACCGTCTGAAATATCACTAATACAAATATTAAAGAGAATGGGTCCAAGTGCAGATCCCTGAGGTACCCCACTGGTGACAAGCCCAAGCTTTGAATACACTCCATTGACTACAACCCTCTGTTGCCTTTCACTCAGCCACTGCCTTACCCATTCAACAATATTGGAATCCAAACTTTAAGATTGCAGTTTATTGATAAGCCTTCTATGTGCAACAGTGTCAAAAGCCTTACTGAAATCTAGGTAAGCAATGTCTGCTGCACCACCCTGATCTATAATTATAGTTACCCAATCAAAAAAATCAATAAGATTAGTTTGGCATGATCTCCCTGAAGTAAACCCATGTTGTCTCTGATCTTGAAATCCATGTGTTTTAGGATTTTCAACAATCCTATCCTTTAACATGGTTTCCATCACTTTCCCCACTACTGAAGTAAGGCTTACTGGCCTATAGTTGCCCAACTCCTCCCTATTACCTTTCTTGTGAATGGGCACAACATTCACTAACTTCCAATATTCTGGGACTATTCCTGTTAACAATGGGACAAAAAGGGCTTTAATTCGATGTCACATATACATATATAAATTCTCATTAATTATAAAAAAAAATGTCAGAAAATTGGGGGGAAATTAAAAAAATTACTATTTTTTCGCAGTTTCTGAGATAACGTGTACATAATATGTCCAGCTTAGGAAAAGTAATTCAGAATAAATTAATTTGTGTCTTGATTAATAGAGTACATAATATGTGTAGGATTTCAGCTTATTTTGAAATTTACAGGTCACAAAATACAAGGAATAAAATAAAATTTCAATGTGAAACAATTTTAGACGTTGGTATGTTTGTCTTTTAGGTTTAGTAGCCATCACAAAAAACAAAATTGCCACACAAAAGTATATATTTTATATAAAGTAGACATCACGGGCTATTTACCAATTTCACTGCTAATCTCTGCTAAATATTGGAGTAAAATTGTGGTTTTTTTTTTTTTTTATTTATTTTGGCATATAAACATATAACAAGATGTTTGTAATGTGTATTTCGCAAAGCTGGTGTGTGCTATTCCTGTTAATTTTCTTGCTATTTTATAACATGTGTAGTGGTAATGATCATTTCTTCTGCTTTTTTGACCCACACAGTGAGCTTCTACTGTATATTTTGCAAACCTTATATGCTATGGCAGTATAACACTTCATAGTGTTCAGCTATGTCATCTGAGTACAGTAATACCCCTGTATGTACCTTTGCCAGGTATATGTGGATGTTGAAGGGGCACATTTGAGACACAGCAATTCAGGTTTTCTTTTCAACTTTGAATTTTTACGCTGTGTCCATGTTTTATTTTGGAGTAGTTTAGCTGGTTGGTTATTCAAACTACTCCATAAACGCATACCTTTTTTTTTTTTTTTTTTTTAAGAATACACCCTGGGGTATTCCAAAAGGCATATTTTGAACCTTAACCTGGGATCATATTTTCACTAGTTTGTTCCAGGTGTAGTGGTAATGAGCAATTTTTATTCACGTTTCTTTTTTAAACTTGTTTTACTTTTTAAAATTTGTTTTACTTATTAAATGTTTTTAAACTTAGCCTAACAGTAAATCCCCCAATTTCCCACTAACTCCCACCCACCCCAAATAGCTAAATATATAATTTTATATATAATATAATCTCAGTAACAATTTTAAACTCTTTAGAGTTTTAGGATTGTTAGTTCATGACAACTTCAATCAACCGGGTTAGTATATGGAATATTTTCTTCATACACTATTGATTAAGACAATCAGCAAATAGCATGTTACTATTTGTTAAATTATAAGGAACCATATGAGTTTATCAGCATATGGATTATTATAATTTAAAAACAGAATTTTTCAGGATCTTAAAATACAATCTAAGCTTTTTACTTCTTAGTACAATTTACAAACACATGTGGATTGTTTGCTTATTGTAAACAGAATTCATTAGACTTAGCTGGACAGAGTTTATTTACTTAGGTGATCTATACACAAATTCTACCACAATGTTTTACCAGCTAGCCCAAAAGTGCTGTTTTCAGAGTAATTAATTATGATTAATTAATTCATCCAGTAACTAAATTCTTGCAGGTTTAGTTAGAACAGTTCTTACCTGGTAAATATTTCCTAGATTGTTATAGGTCAATATTCTCGTGGGTAACTCTTGATATTCTTTGGTTTTTTTTTGTTTGTTTTTTTCATTTCATGATTTTGATTAATATTCTAGTCTGCAGTTTGAGATATCAATCTTTATCATAAACTATCATAAAACCCAATCTGGCGGATTTCATATCAGCTTTTACCCAGAAAATATTAGCTTTTAATATTAGCTTGTAATTTTATAGTTATTATAACTGGCTTATATTTACCGATAGATGTTCTGGATGTTATTTTTAAGATTGTTTCAAGATGTCTTCTTGTCCGTCTCTTGTCTTGTGTCCTCTCTTGTGTGTATGTCATGGGGTTATATGTCATTCCTGTTAACCTTCTGACCTGATCCAATGACATTTTGGGGAAAGTCATTATGTTAATAAAAAATTACGTAATTTTGATATATATTTCTATATGTCTTAAACAGCTGTTGTAGCTGTTGTCTATGTCAGGAATGTTACTAGCTATTATCATATAGGGTTAAACCTTGTTCAGGACAATTTAGGAATGTTTAATTTCAAGATTCTCTGGTCAGCATTTCTTCTTTTCTCTCAATGTGGACTTTGGCCTCACACCTATAAACCAATGTGTCCTTGCTCACCTAAGCGTTATGACAATTGCAGGATATTTAAGCTGTCTAATTACATCTTTTTCTATATATGTAAATTACTAACTTAGGCTATATCCCACTATATTTCTATCTTTATATATAATTCAACTTAATTTATATACCTTACAGCGATATATGTGTGTTTGCTGAACACGTACCTTTTAATTAACACATATTTGTCTAATCTGTGTTCTTATCTTTTATTGATACCGATTTATTTACTCCCTGTCTGGCTCTTTTAGCTGACAGGGTCATACTTTGAGAAAAACATCTTGTTTCTTCATTTTAGCACCTTATGGCATATTAGCCAAATAGCATTATGCATGTATTATTTTATCACACACTATATACATATTTCCTTCTTACACAATAGCTCTGACATGATCTAATGAAGAAAAAGTAGCTTTGCCTTTTCATATCAATATTAAAGACTTTATTCTGGGAGCTCTAGTTCTTACAAGGACTTTCCCTGCTGGAACAAGGCACTGAGCAGTGATTAGCCCTTTCCCCTCCCAGTAACAAGGCACTGAGCAGTGATTAGCCCTTTCCCCTCCCAGTAACTAGACAACACATAGTTCTGGGAATGCAACTGATTTTAATGAGCCAAACTCAGCCTTTTATGCACAGACCCCAGCAGGGGTGTCTCCATTGTATTCAGCACAAGTCCCTCTCGAAATCTCTGGGCCTGGGAGATAATTGTGTTAAAGACCGGTAAGCTGATCATCTCCCAGGAACAGAGAGGCAAACACAAAAACATAAAAATACCCCAAAACATCATAAAAACATACAATAACCCCACAAATAATACATTCCCCACATCCCCCATTCTAACTGGTTGCACACGTGGTCCTATGACCAAAATAGTTCCAGGGTGTTTGGTGCTTTTGCCGGTCAACTTTCGGGTGCTCCTGCATCAGCAATATGGGCTGCTCCACCTTGCTCTCACGGAGCGTTTGTTCACCTTAGCCTCAGGCACCTCCCTTCAAAAACTCACTCTCCTTGCGGGTTGCAAAGTGGTTCAAAACCCCGGACCCAGTTGTCCGAGAATCGCATGGTCACCTCATGCCAAAAACAGTTCCATAACATTCGTGGCAAAGTCCCGCTGAGGTGACCGGGAACCCACAAAATCCTCATCCTGAAATTAGTTCCATAGCGGTCATGGCTAAATACCACTGAGGACTATTCGTGGGTTTGGTTCATGCGAACGACCACCATGGAGCTAGCGTTCAGTTCCATTAGAATGAGGGAAAGTGCCGAACCAGGGGCGGCTGGGCAGGGTAACTCCCACGCCGTGTCTCAGACCTGGACCATAGTCGTGGGCAGGAGGCCAGCCTCTTCACTCCTCCAGGTGTTTTCATGTCAAATGTACGTGGGAAGGAGCATTTGTCACATTCTATGGACCAGAGTATGGATTTTAACCTTGTTAAGCTTATGTGATAGCTGACACAAGCTTTTTATCCTGTGGTGGCAATAACCTCTGTTTTTCAGGATATTAAGATATAGATAGAGATATTGTAGCTGTATACTAGAGAGGGCAGAAGCAGATCCTCCCATCATGAAAAGTTTGCAAGATATTAAGCTTGCAGTGGTCTTTACCTCAGAGGCTTCAGTTGATATTATTAATGTTAAAGATAGGAACATAGCTCTCTCTGTCTCTACCCGAAGTGTTTGGTTTAGATCTTGGTCTAAAATGCCTCTTTAAAGATTAGTATTTTCCCTTTCAGGTGATATGCTGTTTGGCATCTCAATCTTTTAGAGGTGGAGAGTCTCCTATCAGAAAGGATAATCCAAAAGGGGTGGGGCATGACAGTCATGATGGAGAGCCATGTTCTAAACAAATGCGGGCTTATGTTCTGCACATAACGGGCATTGGCTGACTCGGGCTCGGCTTAAAAGGGTCACTAGCCTTTTCCCTTTTAATAGAGTTTTATGGGGGATGTGCATGCCATCTTTACTAAATTTACAAAACCATTGGAGAGGTGGTGATCTGGAATCGGCGTTGAGTCGTTGAGAGATGAAGTGGATATTTAATTTAGACACTTTGACTCCCAGTTGTCTCAACGTTGATTTTGAGAAGTCTATCATCATTTAATTAGTCTTGTTTTTTAATATCCCTTTATTTTTATATCTTATATTAACTATATGATAAGACCAGGGACTAATAAAAAATTGGGCAGACTAGATGGGCCGAATGGTTCTTATCTGCCGTCACAGTCTATGTTTCTACTACATCAGGTTTCTAAATCTTTACTTTTTGCTTACAGTCATGCTATTACGGTTATTCACTAAATTTAATTGTCGAGAAGTCAAAATAAATTTCAAATTTTTACCTAGAGTGGCAGGAAAAAGACCACTGGACAGTAAAAGTAGGCATAGAGTATTCTATAAGAAACACCCAGGGGACATTTCCATAGCACTACAACTCCTAACTCCACTGGCTCAAATTAGCTGCCAATCCACACTGCATTCAGCCTAACACCACTCCCACGGTCCATATTATGTATTTCTCAACCTCAGGGGTAAAATAGTTACAGTGCATTGTACAGCCCAGTATAAACATGAACGTTATACATACATTACAGTGTACACATGTAACACCTACAGTAACATCATGTTTGCTGAAATATTGACAATGTAGTACATTACTGAGGAAATGTGAACGGACAAGTTATTTTATTGCAAAGGGATATTTGACAAGTGAAATATACATCAATCCCACCAAATAATGAGTCTCTAAGTTACAATATTACTAAAGAACATGAGATGCTTTGCATAGTAACAATAATAACGAGTAGCCATAGCAATTTATAACGATAGAGCCTGAATGGAATTAATGTTTGTGTAATGCTGCATTGAAGCAAATGAGAACCGATGGGAGAGATTAGCAAAACAGCAACTGCCCTACTTTACTTCATTTTAGTGTTTCCAGTAGGATGTAAAAAATAAAATGTAATGGGTACTTTTTGGAGTATCGTGGGTAAATGAGTCCTTACAGGGAAACTGCCATGTATCTGGAAATTACACTATTTAATAAAACATTGAAAATTACCTATAATTTATATACAACTAACCTTTATATTTTCATTAATGTGACACTCTGCTTTCTTTAAAATTTATATTAAAGGGACACTATAGTCACCAGAACAACTACAGCTTATTGAATTTGTTCTGGTGAGTAGAATCATTACCTTCAGGCTTTTTGCTGTAAACACTGTCTTTTCAGAGAAAATGCAGTGTTTACATTACAGCCTAGTGATAACTTCACTGGCCACTCCTCAGATAGCTGTTAGAGATCCTTCCTGGGTCATGGCTGCCTAAAATGCATCCAAACATTCAGTGTCTCCTCCCTCTGCATGCAGACACTGAACTTTCCTCATAGAGATTCATTGATTCAATTCATCTCTATGAGGAGATGCTGATTGGCCAGGGCTGTGTTTGAATTGTGTTGGCTCTGTGCCTGATCTGCCTCTTTGTCAGTCTCAGCCAATCCTATGGGGAAGCACTGTGATTGGATCAGGCTATCACATGTCAGCAGACTGCTTGTTTTTTCTGAGTCTCAGCATGCAGATTCACAGCTTCTGGCTTGAATACAGTAATATTTTTACTATATTTATGGA